AGGTATGGGGAAAATCTGGATTCAGAATATTTTTTTTTGTCATCTGCTTGATCAGAATATTTTTTTTTATCAAATTGGGGATCAGAATTTTTTTTTAGGAATAAACCATAACACCCCCCCCCCCCCCCCCCCCCCTTGAAGTTAAATGGTCGTTCCCTAATCATTTATCATAGTGACTGTTTTGAATATAGTACTCCATTATTTTATTTTTTGGACAGTCAGTTTAGGTCTTAGAAACAAAATATTTAGCAATTTTGACAATTTATACAGGAATTCATGATATTCCATTAAAAAGATAAGAAAATACCAAATGGAAGATATTATTAATAAGCTGAATGCTAACTTTGTTTAAAAAAAACAGTGTTTGGGTGTAATACTACAACATCATAGGACTTCACATCGGGTTTCATACGAAAAAAAATATTCCCTTGAATTTGACAGTCGTAGGAAGTTAACCCTGCAATTTATTACAGAAAAAAATTCTGAGTCATAAACATATATTTTGGGTGCTTCAAAGCACCATTCTTTTTTCATTTGATGATTCTATAAAATATTTTAGAAACTTGAGGTGACATGGTTACCATGGTTACTAAAGCTTGTAAAAAACAAACAAAGGGATGAACATTGGATTGGGTTACTTCTGGTGATGGTTATTATCTTATATGTAATGAAATGTTATGCGAAATTTTCACATTAGTACTGGACAGGATAAAACTTTTCTCATGCCAAGTAATTCTTTATTTGAAACAAAGAGAAATTCTTCACAATTTAATTTTTTGAAAAATGCCAATTTAGCAAAAGACTAATGGGGGAAAACAATGGTGATATCACTCCGTATAGCGAAGTTACAGACAGAGTTTTAGTATCGTTACGACTTTCTTTTCAGTGAATATATATACAACAAGCATTTAAAATTGTACTTGCCAACTGCATTTTTATTCCGTCATGTTTGTCTCTTCATGTTACATAACAAGAAAAATTATCAAAATTCGACACACCTCGCCGCAGGAAATACTTCTCTGGGGGTATCAAAATCTGCAAAGCTTTATGAATGACTGATCAAGTTATATATGGAAGTGCATTAAATTGACAGAATCGAATACTCAACACTATACAAGGTATATCGAATGATTGATCAAAATTACATACTCAACACTAAGTCTTATCAAGGTATACCGAATGACTTATCAAAATTACATACTCAAAATTAAGTCTTATCAAGGTATACCGAATGACTTATCAAAATTACATATTCAACACTAAGTCTTATTAAGGTATACAGAATGACTGATCAACATTACATTCTCAACACTTATCAAGGTATACCGAATGACATATCACAATTACATACTCAACACTTATCAAGGTATACCGAATGGCATATCAAAATTACATACTCTGATGATGATGATGATGATGATGATGATGATGATGATGATGATGATGATGATGATGATGATGATGATGATGATGATGATGATGATGATGATGATGATGGGATGATGATGATGATGATGATGATGGGATGATGATGATGATGATGATGATGATGATGATGATGATGATGATGATGATGATGATGATGATGATGATGATGATGATGATGATGATGATGATGATGATGATGATGATGATGATGATGATGATGATGATGATGATGATGATGATGATGATGATGATGATGATGATGATGATGATGATGATGATGATGATGATGATGATGATGATGATGATGATGATGATGATGATGATGATGATGATGATGATGATGATGATGATGATGATGATGATGATGATGATGATGATGATGATGATGATGATGATGATGATGATGATGATGATGATGATGATGATGATGATGATGATGATGATGATGATGATGATGATGATGATGATGATGATGATGATGATGATGATGATGATGATGATGATGATGATGATGATGATGATGATGATGATGATGATGATGATGGATGGCTGTTTAACGTCCAGCGGCACATTAATATGCATATTCAGGACGAGAACATGTTTAAAATGTAATATGAATATTAACCCTGCTTTGTACTAGACCGTCACGGTGAGTCGGATTTTGAACGTGCTAGTTCACAAGGTAACAGTCCGAAGGAAGACATGTCACCGTACCCGGACTCATAATTCTGACCCCGAGCCGACGGAGAAGCAGCAAATACCAATTTTGAAGTCTTTGGTTTGACCTGGCCGGGGTTCGAACCCACGACCTCCCACACTCGAGGCGAACACGCTATCACGACACCACCGAGATGGTTCCGAGTTTGTTGACCGTTATGGAATATCCGTTTCACAGACGACAACGGATGTGTTCCAAATGTCGTAACTATAATTCTGTCCCCCTTTCCCAGAATGTGACCTACCAAATTAGACTTATCACCGGGTTTGTACTAACATGAGCAACACGATGAGTGCCACATGTGGATTGGGATCTGCTTACCCTTCCGGAGCACCTGAGATCACCCCAAGTTTTTGGTGGGGTTCGTGTTGCTCAGTCTTTGGTTTTCTATGTTGTGTGTTGTGTACTGTTGTTTGTCTGTTTGTCTTGTTCTTTTTCAGCCATTGCGTTGTCAGTTTATTTTCGACTTATGAGTTTGGATGTCTCTTTGGTATCCTTCGCCTCTCTTTTTATATATATCAGACAACAAACTAAGTATTATATTTATAAACATATTGAAGAAATGTTTCAGAGACAGAAGAAAAGTATTTGTATTTTTTGAAAGCTGGATAAATTACCACAATTTATTAATAGAGAAAGGGAAATATCTTCAAACATCAAGAGAAGAGAAGATAGATTATAAAAAAAGTGAGAAAAATTGAAGATGAAATTCATTTTTTTAGTTTTCAAATTAATAGTCTTATCAAACAAGTTTATATTATATGTTGAAAATGAAAGCAAAAAAGTAAAACAAAAGAACCGAATTCCAAGGTAAACCCAGAAAGGAGAAGTCCATAAAAACTGACAAAATTGAACGTTATCAACCAACTGAACGAGTGGAAAACAGCTGTCTTATTCCTGACTCGGTACAGGAATTTTCGAAGAAAATTATGTTATAAACCTGGTTTTATAGCTAGCTAAACCTCCCACTTATATGGCAGTTGTTTACAGCTCAGTTATATTGACAAAATTGGGTAAGCAACCCAAACAGACATGAAAGGTTAATGTGACAATAATTGGGACCCAAAATATACTGATAAATAAGTTTTTGGTAGTTGATAATACACATCATATATAGTATACACTTTCTCGATAAAATACAAATTGAGTAAAATATGAATACAAGGGTAAACAAAATGGAAATATCACTGTAAAAACCTCTTGCGCCCGACTCGCACCTCAGGACCTACCTGCACCAGAACGGCCAAAGTCAAAAACATGATGGCGACGTCAAAGTTTATACAAAACAATTTATAGGTGTAAATTAATATATTGCAAAAAAAAAAATATAAATACATTGTAGCATGCATAATGTAAAAGTATAATTATTCAAGTGTAAAACCTTGTATCTGTCAGAAAATAATCTGTATATGTAAATATAATTTTAAAGGTTATTTAATGCATTAAATAAACAGACAAGGATGTTACTTCATCTTCTCACACGATTTAAATGAAATATTGAGAGCGTGGGAAAGACACTAGTGAGACAAGATTTGAGAATTTAATATTGTACATTAAGTAAACATTTATCATTTAACTGACCCCAAATAAAGTATTTAAATGGTTTAATTCATAAGATTTTACGGTGGAGCCAATCGGTTGTGAACTATGTTGATGGATTTATTACTAAAAATTAAATACTATTTTAAATAATGTGAAATAAGTTGTAATCTATATTTTTCAAATTCAATCCACGGCAATAAACAAGAAAGACCATAGCAAACACATGCTGCGTCTTACACATACCTACATCATTAGGCGTATGTTTAACAAAAGTTCCAAATGTACTTCATTCAAAAAGATATCCAAAATCGAAAAAGGGGGAAGTGTTCTTACAAAACTAGTTTAACCCAGTCATCTCAATGCACCTGTCTGAAGTCAGGAACCTAGGGCCATTAGATATGAAACAGGCACATTAACACCTGAATTAAATACTCTTTATTAGGAAAGGTTCACGCTATAAGCAAATCAAATCCAAGACGTCCGCAAGTGAATACATATCGTAATTGTTAAAATATTACATTTCAATTCAGTTCAATATTTTCTTGCCATTGAATACTTTATATAAGGTGTGTAACAAGAAATCAAATTACGAGTATTCAATAATTATATTTAACATAAACTCATCATAGATCTATACTAGGCTTAACATTTTGTACGCCAGACGCGCGTTTCGTCTACAAAAGACTTCAATAACGCTTGAATAAAATAGTTCAAAAGTTGAAGAGAATTAGGGAGTCAAAATCGAAAGATTTTGCAAAAACTTCTTCCTTGTGTAGAAAATCCTTTTGTATTTCGAAAAGTTTTGTAAACAGTTAATATAATTTATGATTAGTTGCTAGTCTTTCGACCGAGTTTCGATGAATGATTTATGGACGAAACTGTTAATTCAAAATGACTATGTGATTTGATTTTTCGGGTAAAAAGGTCTATTAATTTCATTGTAGATCATTGTAGCTGATTTCTATTACTGCAAATTGAAGGACATCTTTTATTGCATTAAACAAATTATTCGGTACTCACGGAAGCCTGTTTTGTTTTTGAATTTGTCTAATGACTAATAATAGATAAAGTAACATCATAAAACGAGTCTTTAGTGTTCATCGTTCTGAACCATTTATCTGTAACGGTATTCATCAGGTAAAACAGGTGTTCATTTCTTCACTGAGGGGGCGTGGTTTTCCCACAATTTGAAGACATATTGTCGCGTGCCATTTCGAAGTAAAATATACAAATATGCATATTGAAAATACATTCTATTACATTGTCCAATGAGATAACAATATTATTTTAACTTTTACATAAGATATGGTTTGATTGACACAAATGAAAAACATATTTTAAAAGAGTTATAAGACAGTACAAGTGTTGCATTTAATGAAATAAAATGTAAAGTGCTTAAACTTGTTCATTTCAAGGAAAATGAATAATAATGATAATAATAATACGGTAGGGTCGAGTCAGGATAATCAAGACAAAATGACTGAAGATTTAGATAAAGAGACAGAAAAAGTTACCTCCTCTGCACCCGACAGGCGAAAGGTATGTAATATATATCTTAAATCAAAATAGAAAAAAGTCAGGAACATTTTCAGTGAGTGTCGTGTTTTTTATATTTCTATATTTTAGAGTTTTTATCAATTTAGGAATTTGGATATGATGGCACATCTTTAGTCCCTGTTGAAAAAAAAATCATCAGAGATGTCAGGCTCATAATTTGTACGCCAGACGAGAGATTCGTCTACACAATTTATGTACAACTTGTTAAGACCTCAGACTTCTAGCACTGTTCAATAGTAGTCTCAGTTTAGACACGTGCTGAATTCGAGCTTGACATATGGAATGGGGACTAATTTTTTTTATCATAAGAAATTAAAAGTAAATTGACCACAAAATGTCTTTCTGTTAGTTTTAATTGTTTGTTTAGATACAGTTTTTTTCCACACTCAACAAATTATGAATAATAGCAACCAGAAAGCGATAAAAGGAAGCTCTTATTAAATCCATATTCATCTATAAATATATATATATTTACAGACGAATGCATTGGCTAGTTTTCAATCACTTTTGTTTTTGTTGCATTTCTTGGAAAAACGAACATAATCTTAGATTATGTGAGAAATCGTCTATAATTTATAGAGCATCTTGTAGTCTTGTAGTTTCAACAGCATATTTTCAATTAGATATTAACATACAAGGAAAAACAAGTCCAAGGAATAATGGAAGACAACTAAAACGACCTTTACAAATAGCTATGAAATACCTCACTGAAACTCCAATGCGTAGACACAAGTAGGATTCTTTAAATTAAGGCATACAAATATATATACATATATTCTTGTTTCCTGCCTCCTGGCAGAAAAAAAAATTAGGGTAAGTAGGTATGTAAAATAAGTTCATTAAGCTTACAGCCCAAAGGGCCAGTGTAAGCTTGACGTCCGTCGTCTGTCGTCCGTTAACTTTTACAAGCTTCTTCTCTGAAAGTACTTGGCCAAATTTAACCAAACTTGGCCCCTATCATTATTGGTTATGTAGTTTAAAAATGTGTCCGATGACCCGCCTGCCAACATACATGGCCGACATGGCTAAACATAGAACATGGGTGTAAAATGCAAGTTTTGCCTTTTATTTTGAAAACCGCTATAGAAAGGGAAAATCTGAAAACGCCAAAGTGTTTAGAATGTTGAGATCTACCTACGGTTTATTATATAAAAAATTTCAGATGACTTATTATATGATTTATTGCCCTTAAATGACGAATTTTACTATTATTTTTGGTGTTTTTGCCTATAATTATCTTGAGAGCTATAATAGATAGAAAGATACTTTAAGTAGCAGAAATTATCAGAAAAACAAGATCTACAGATAAGTTAACATGGCAGACTCCTTATTGGAGTTATTTCCCATTTATGACGATTTTGCAATTTGTTTTGTGTTTTTGCCTATAATCTTGAAAACTATTATAGATAGATAGAAAATTTAATAGCAAAAATGATCACCAAGACAAGATCTACAAATAAGTTTTATTGCGGAAATCGTAAGTTGACTTCCTTTAAGGAGTTATTGCACTTAGATGACAACTTTAAATAATTTATGCGTTATTGCTAATTTTTTAAAGACTATAATGGATAGAGAGGAACGTTATATGCACAAATTATCAACAAGGCAAGATCTACAAATACGTCGGTATTGCTGAAACCGTTGCTCAACTCTCTATAGAAGTCGGATGAAATTTTTTACCATTTTGTTTTTGCGGTTTTGCCTTTTATATTGCAAACTGTAATACTGTAATAGATATAGATAGAAACTACAAGAACCAAAAATGATCACCAAGACAAGATTTGAAAATATGTCAGTTTAAATGAAATTGTCAGTGGTCTTCCATTGGAGTTGGCCTTGAATGACGAAAGTCTCTGTAAAATTTGTTCACAATTCTTCTCTTTGTGTGATTAAGAGCTTGTTATATATTGCATGGATACCATTATTTAATTTTGAAGACCGTTTGGTGACCTCTAGATGTCTTTTGGGTTTTTTGTGTCCTGTTTGGTTGCTGTCTCTTTGACGTATATCATACCCAACCCCTTCTATTATTATATCAATTCTCTCTAAATAAAAAATAAAATGGAAAGAGATACAATTTTCGGATCACGTATAAAATGCAACTGATACTGAAATAGAGGCTATATTGAAGGGCCAGTCGCACACAGTTAGCATAAAGTTTAAGGGTTCTTGTATTTTATCTACACAGACATCTAAGCCTATCATGGAGAAGAGAAGAAGAGCAAGAATCAATGCCAGTCTCACTGAATTGAAAACGTTTCTTTTGGATGTCATAAAAAAAGAAGTAAGTGGAATCATAATGTGAAGGAAATGGTGAAAAGGGTCAGTACAGTTTTCAAATGTACCACACAAAACCGGTTTTGTTAAAACATTGCAAATTTGGCATGCTTTTGTTAAAAATACATCGAAAGACATACAATTTGAAAATGAATTGATTTGTTTCCGATGAACAGATTAAATATATAGCATTGCTCAAATGTCGTAAAAGGTCATTTTGGTATAAAAACAATGAAATTTGCCAAGCCGTTATCCAACAGATTATATTTCTGTGAAATGACAAGTATTAAACATGTGTAGTGATTGTTTATTATTAGTTTTGAGTACACAAAGTTCAATCACTTTGGGATAGTGTGTTCGGGGCGTTTTTCTGATTTAGCTGCCCTCTGAGGGCACAGAATCCCAAAGGGGATTGGAAAAAATTGACTCTTATTGAGCACGTAAAAAAATGCATGAATAAATTTTCACCAACGGGCAAAATATTGGGAGCCGAAACAAATGTGATATATAACAATCATGCGCAGGCGTTTCGCAAAAAAAAAAAAAAAAAAAAAAAAAAAACTTAAAATTATCCCATGTGTCATGATTATTTAAGTTCTCTAAAGGAAACTGAAAATTCAAAATAGAGAATAGAGAATGGAAACGAGGAATGTGTCAAAAAGACAAGAATCCGACCAAAAATCAGAAAACAGCACAAGGCCATTAGAAGAATGCTTCGTCAAACATGCTTTATTGATGTAAATTTGCCTCTATATTCATGCATAACATTTAAAAGTGTATTCCCACTTTCATGAATATTCAGATCAAGGTAAACATATTGAAAGTACATCAAGTATTGCTATGGTTCATTATAAATATTTCTAATGTAATATTGTGAAAAAATGAGTTTAAATACCGACACATCAGGTATGAAACTAACGAAGGTAAAATTATTTTCCCACGATATGGTGTTTACTTCGGAATGCATCAATAACTTGAGGGCTCTTATTTCATATTCTTCAGATAATGCCTCATAATAATTTAGTTAGCGGTCAGACAAAGCCTTCCTTTAAACACTTCATTAATTACTTGTACTTTTAACAAACCATAGGCCATCATTGTAGCTTCCATTTATGATATTATAAAACGTTTATTTTAACATCAAACTGTTTAAGCACATTACTAATATTTTATATGGGGGCGGGTTATGCTTTAAGGGGATACGATTAAATAACATTGTTAAATTATAACATCTTATTTATAAAAATGAAATATGTCTGAAGCAGAAGAGTCTTGTATTGGTTTAAGACATATTTAGGAACTAAAGATAGAGAAAAAACCCATAGGAATGTTGTTTAACGAAATTCCTGGTAACTCTTTTTAATGTCACCTTAAAATACATATACTTATTTTCATTGTGTTCTTGTGTTCATGTCTGCAGGGATTACGACACAACAAGATGGAAAAGGCTGATATTCTAGAATTGACAGTTAGACATTTGCGGCAGCTTCAAAGACAACAGTATACAGGTAATAATTAGGCTGATCAGTAATCAAACTGAGGCAACATTAATCGACTATCTTAATAAAGCAGCAAATCAAAACATATCAATATATACGGCTTTAACCATATCAACAAAGAAAAATATAAACTCCCAATATGGCAAAAAAAGATCCCCCAGAACAAAAAAAAAATCAAACATAGAAAAGTGGTGGCAATATAAAAATATGTTACCGACTAATGGGTAAACTTTCTGAAATTACTCTGAAATCGAAAACAAAATCTTTGGAACCTAGCGTACAAAAGAATTTATCAATCATGAAAACCAAAAGTCCATTCACATACACATAAAAAAAAATCGTATTTCAGATTTGTCTGAAAGAGTAATAACATAAGTGTTAAAAGTAAAGATACATACTTCATACTAAAAATTGCAATACAAATTTATCTTTTAAATCCTGCAAGTGTCGGAATAGTAAGCCATGAGATACAGAACATTAGATGTAAATCTGTGTGTTGTATAGATATAAGCATAACCTCAAGGACGTTTCCCATTCATCAGTGAAAGTTAACAAAAAGAGGTTCATTCGTTTGCTAGTCGGGATGTATAGATACGCATCCATGTCAGGTCGGAATGGGGAAGTTAAATCCAATTCCTCGTGTAGGTAGAGTGCCACGCTCTGTACCTGTAAACAAACACTTGCAAACAACTATTTGAGAGATCCTTATGTTGCCTGTTACAAGCATAATTTCTGTATTTATCCAATAGCACACTTCTGTTACAAGGACTTTCTAATGCCGACTTTTTCCCAGTCTATCAATTTTGTCGAACCTACCTATTAGATTTATTGTTATTTTTCTCTTGTCCTGAATATGCAAGGAATTATATTTGCCGCTAGACATTAATCAAATAGCAATTAATCAATCAGATGTAAACACAACACGATGATAGATTGTTTTTTTTCTTCAAGCCGATGCAGCCGCAAATATTTCATGCATGTTCAGGACGATAATTGACAAAAATCAAATAGGTAGGTTCTGAACTGTGGATCGATCTGCATAAATGCGGGAATTTCGACTGTTACTTTAAAAGAAGGGCACACATCATGCCTTGCAACAAGCCCCATTAATGAGTTGTTGAAAGGGTTCTATAACGTGCAGAAAACGTCGCACTCTCCATACACGATGTTAGGATTGAACGTACCAATTCCAACTGATCGTGTGTACCTTTTATTAATTTCAAACAGCCAGACGGACGTCCCTCTTGAGCATGGGCTTTACTCCGTGATTGAATAGGTATAGAGGTTGCTCTATTTTAATACTCAAACCAACCCTTAGATGACCAGTAATCATTTAGACATCACGTGATTGTTAAAAAAAACCCAGGACGCATGTATTATACATTTTGCAATATATATTTGGAAAAGGCATATAAAGGCAAGAGAACACAAGCATTATTTGTTACTATGTGCGTAGAAAATCAACATGCCTTTATAATTTATGCATATAACTTTTCACATTGTTTAAGTCAAACTTGACTCATATTCTCAAAAACTACCATAATCAGGGTCTGTGATATCATATACGACAGTAAAGGATTGATGTAGGTATTGATTTAACGAGTTAAAATATATACTGGTACAAGTAATGCATGTTCTGTCATATTTGTTTAATTATATTTTTCATTTACGTTCACTTGGCAATACAATAAATATCACTTATGTTTGCAGTTTCAACACCCGGTGAAGGATCAACATGTGACACATTTAGATTAGGTTTCAGTGAATGTACATCTGAAGTGACTAAATTTCTGTCAAGAATGTCTAACATAGAACCTAATTTCCAAGTAAATTTATTGGAACATTTGTCGACCTGCTCAAACTCAGAGAACAGTTTAAAGTTCCTTAATACGTCTGTTTCTCCAGTAAGTTCAAACTCTTCTATTCAATCAGAAATAACAAGGGAGCAGCAAAATTTAGAAAAGTGTTCGGCTAGTTCAATGACGTTTGATAATACTGCAGACATTTTATATAGCAGTCACCATACCGACGATAAATTAGTGAAACCAGGAAACGCTAGCTCAACACATCTGTGCAACTTGTCTTCACAACAGTCTAAAATGTTGGATACAGACCGAACGATTCAACATCCCTTAAGAGCAAGCACACCACATATGCACAATTTTTCTTTGCATCAATCTAAAATGTTGGACGCAGACAGATCAGTACAACACCCAGTAAGCATATCTACATCAACGAATGGACCTACTGTCCAACCTTTTCAGCAGCTAAAAACATGTGCCACTCCGATTGGAAACGTAATTGGTAATGTGGCTTTTGGAAACATAATAAGCGGCATACAACTAGTCCCTGTCCAACTTCCGTCTGGCGAAACTTTATATTTTATTCCAACTAATATATTAACTAATACCTGTGTTCCTATTAGTAAAACATCAATTCCCATCACAAATGTCATATCTCAGAACACTGCCCAACCAGCTGTGTCGTCTGCATTCCCGTGTGTTCAATCATCCTCGAGAACGGTCATAGAAAACATTCGAATACCATCAGATAGTCCGAGGGAAAATTATACCGAGAATAACCAAAATGAAAGCTCACTCAACTACTTTGATAGGACAGTAAGAAATAACATCGAACGAAATGGTCCGACTGCTTCCAGAAATGAGCCTCAAATATCACTACGACAACATGAAGGCTTAGAACCCGTATGGAGGCCATGGTGAAATGTTATACGGTGTTTTTGTTGCTTTAATCTCATAATGAAAGACTCCAAAACGCTGTTTCCAAATGCTATTGGAAATTCAAAGCAGAATTAATGGAAAGCGAAAATATGCAAAACAGCAGTGACATTTGTAAAAGTAAAAAAATCTCTTTACATATATATTTTGTTTCCGCATTGTCATGTATTACATTGTGTTATTCTATTATTGGCTTTCTTTGTGAAAGTATAAAACCATTCTTCTCTTTCAAGATCAAGTTTTCTTCCGAAGATGTGGTATGATTGCCAATGATACAACTATCCACTAGAGCTCATATGACGTAGAAGAAAGCAATTATACGTCACCCTATGGCCTTTAACAAGGAGACAATCCATACCGTATAGTCAGCTATAAAAGGCTTCAACAAATATGAAAAATGCGAAACAATTGCAACAAGAAAAGTAACGGCCTAGTTATTAACATTTCAATTTACGAAAAAACAAATATGACAGATGTGAACCAACGACAATCACTGAATTATCGAGGGTCTATACATATTCTCAAAGCACATTACAGGCCAACTATCGGTGATTTATTACCAAGGCCAACCAACAATACCTCCTGAGTTAAAGATCAATGTTGATGTAATACCGTATAAACTATATATACACCATAGGTTAAATATTTTAATTAAGCTAATTATTTATTTTAATTTTGATTAATTGGTCGTAAAATAGACGAATGCATTCTTAATACTTATATGCATTTGCATTTTCATGCCATTAAAATACTATTAATGTCTTTATGAAATTAGGAAATTGTTAGAACTATCGGTACATATCACTGATAGTAAATATGATGTGAAATTGTTTTTAAATAACTTCATTTTCTGAAGATATATAATTTACATAATTGCCTATTAAAATGACAGAATATATTTTCTTTATTAAAACAGCAGACATTTTTATTCAAACTTTAGTCTTTGAAGTCAGAATTTTTGTTTATGCTGACAAAAAAGAGACATCCTCATGATAATATATGCATTTAAAATAGTCATACAGAACATTTTCCTAGCAGTCAGGTTTATTGTCGTGGGAAAGAAAAAAAATATACTCAACTATTCGGAGTATGGCATTTTAATGCATAAAAAACATCAAGTCGGATAAAGCACGTTGAATAATAGTTAAAAAAATGGAATACCTTAGTTCATAATGCATGTAAATTTGACTGATCATAAGGTTAAATAAGGAAGTCCTGCAGTTGGAAGTGGAATTGAGCGTTCCTGTTGAAGGTTAATCAAGAAAATCTCACAAAGCGAGTTCGACCCTGTTTTATGCTACTTCCTTTGTTTTGACTGACCCCTTGTGTTGCTAGCTGACGACCTGACCTTTTGGAGTAAATGATACAACTCCATCTGTTAAATAAAAAAATCTTGGAAAATAGAACTGTTTTAATTTTGTGAATCCTGTAAGAAATAATTTTGATAAACAAACTGATAGAAACGGCTAAGAAATGAATTATTCATGATTACTTAGAAAACAGTTTATAAAATTTATCAGTTATTGACATCAGTAAATGCTCTTTTTCATAACTCATCGTTTCAAAATCTAAAGAATTCTTGGTACTTTTTCAGAAACTAACACCACAACGTTGTGATTGGCTATGACAACGGGAATTCAACCAACGGCTTGACGGTATTTCATTTTGGGTACGAACGATGAAATAAACAAAATTCCTTTAGATTATTAAACGCGGAGTGATGCACCATATAACAACAAAATGATTACAAATAAAATGCTTGCACAAACTACAATTAAAGGAATCAACCAGTGTCTCGCATGAAGCACAATTTGGAGACATACGCCGCGTAATCATTACAAATTGGTTTACCGATACGATGCATCTGGGTCTAAATTTAAGAAAGACATGTTTGACTGTCTTTTACAAGTGTCAAGACACCAGAAACGTCATCTGATCTTATCGGTACATTTTTACTGAGTGTGGATTAGCATGGCGGATAATAACCCATACATACTAGGAGACGCTTACCTTGTCGACGCAACCGGCTTCGTTACATTTCGAATACATACGATTCCCTCGATTTATTTTCTCTTACGTGTAGTTATTAGTTTCCAAATGGATTTAAAAGGATAAACTTGTATTGCCTCTTATGGACTCCACTGTTGCTACCTGCCCGTTCCCGTATCACGTCATTTGATAAATGGATATCAATCATAACTTGCTGAGAACACTAATGGTTTTGGAAGCATTGTCTCATATTACGTTTATTCTTTAAAAATTCATCGTGAAAAAATTGTGCAAATGTAAGAATACGGACAGTTTTGCCAATCGAACCTACATTACTGGCCTACCCACCGAGCCTGATATATTTACCGAAACAATATCGCAAAACGTTTTTCTCAAAAACTTGACAATTGCTGAATTATGTTTGATGTTTATTTTCCTGTCTATATATTTTTATTATAAAGACGCAATGATCGATTGGTGTATTAAAAATGCCGAATGTTCAACTCTCGAGATAGTACTTGTTTCAGTATAGGAAATGTCAATCAAATATTGTAGCACGCGACACGCATGACATCTTAATGTGGGAAAACCACGCCCATTTATATCTCCTCGATAAAACAACTTTCAAGATTATGTATCGGATAACAACTGGGGGCATCCGGGTCGTGAGACATTTAAACAGAACACTTCACCATAAAAACGCTTACTAAATCCTGTATTATATAAGGGATAAATAGCAAAAAGAGTCAGTCTACTGATCATTTCACTCAATTTATTCTTAATGAAAATGACAAATTTTCTTTAAAACAACTATAATAAGCCTTATATTTTTTTTAAATAACCTTTTATTACGAAACGTTTTCAATTAGAAAACCAACGTTTACAAAAATGAAAATCAATATACATGCAGGTAAATGATATTTTTATAGTTAACGAATAAATCAAGAATTCGTCTGTCTTAATAACAAAATCGCTATTCAACAAATCATTTCTTTTTATAGAATTAAAAAAATAATAACTTCCTAACTCTTCCGAGAATGGATATGTTTTATTTTCCTTTTACCCCTGACTTTGAATTAATATTTTAAGCACAGTTCCATATTTTGCTTTTAATGAGATATTTATGAACATTTTGGGTCACAGTTAAATCAGAAATTATATCTTTGACAAAATAGTATTTTCCAAATGTAAAAAGACTCCTTACCTATAACATAACTCATATAATTTTATGCTAAGCTATCGAAAAAAAAACCCGACAGCCATTTTTCAAGCTTGTTTAAACAGGGAGAACGACATACTATCGAGCTTTACTGTTCCGATGTCAAACGCATCTTACTTTCCATTCTTGTGTGGTTTATTCTTTCATCTGCGCCTTTTGAAGGATGTGGTAAATCGCAGGTTACTTTAACTAAGAGAAGTTTTGTATAGCATACTGTCATCCGGACAATACTTCACACAGTTTGATTTTCATTATTTAGTTTCCTTAAGCTAAGTAAAACTTTGATACCCATTGTGTATGTTCGGTTAAAAGTTATATCGTTTTTCAACCATAAGCTTTGCGAAAATATCAGCTTGCCGAACATTTAATTTTTCCTTAGCGTGGTAATTGCAAACATATCGTGCTGTTGGATTATAGCACAGATACAGTTTTCTTTTGTGTAAGGATTTATAGGCACCTACCAATCATCTTTTGATGAAGGCATATTTTTTCTAATTTTCAATGGAAACAAACTATTTTTACACTTCCTTTATAGATAAAATTCGTTATTTTTTCAACAAAGTTGAAATAAAAAATTAATCGAAATAACATGCCCCCAAAAAAGATGAATGGTCGGTGCCTTGGTGAAAAAGAAACTTATGAAAATTGGACTATTTTTCTAAATTAGATTTAAGATGCAAGCACCGTTGTAACGATTGCATTCCTCTTTTCATTACTGTGTAAAAATATAAACAAGAAGAATAGGAAATTGTCTCAATACTGTAATGCTTAAATGGTGTGTTCTACTTTGTTGTCTATAAAATTATTATGAATGAAAGACAAAATTGTACAATTTTCAGCCTCTCCCTTAATGTGACAATATGATTGGCTTCAATATTTCGTTACATTAAATGCTTTATATAATAAAACAAACTATTTGAAATAATACCGCATCTTATTTTATATCTGATCTGAAGTGTATGGCTAAAGATACGTGATTTGGTAATCAAGTACCGAAAAATAGGAATCGAAAAGATTTCAGTTTTACCTAGTGAATCCAAACATTTTTGCCAAATTTCAATGTTTACAAAGTTGGACAAATTTTTGAAAAATACATTAAAGGTCCATTACACTCTAAGAGTCGATTATTATAAAGCATTTTTGCTTTTGAAATATTTTAGCTTAGCGTGTTATCTCATTAACAAATACCAAACATGTAATAATATTTTATGCAGATTGTATGGTTTATTCTTTATTTGAATATTTTGATTTACATTTTAAACTTTCTTTCCCACGACCTCTTGTCTCAATGTAAACCACGATCACTAACTTATATGTCATCTGTCAAGTGTTTATACCTGAACAGGTGAGTATATTAAAATATGATGTTTAATTTACATGTGCTGGAAATATATTTATCCATCTCTGGTTTATTTGAAGGTAGTTTAGAATATCATACTTCTAATTTTAATTTGCTCTTTATATCTTTTCAGAACTGATTTCAATTACAGTATAGATCTGGTTTATATGAAGGGAGTTTAAAATACCATACTCCTTTTTTTTATGTGCTCTTTAGATCTTTCAAGAACTGATTTCAATTACAGTATAGATCTGGTTTATATGAAGGGAGTTTAGAATACCATACTCCTTTTTAATGTGCTCTTTAGATCTTTCCAGAACTGATTTCAATTAAAGTATAGATCTGATTTATTTGAATGGAGTTTAGAATACCATACTCCTTCTTTAATGTGTTGTTTAGATCTTTCCAGAACTGATTTCAATTACAGTTAAGACCTGGTTTATTTGAAATGAGTTAAGTAAATCATACTCCTTTTTAAATGTGTTCTTTATATCTTTCCAGAACTGATTTCAATTACAGTGAGTTAAGTAAATCATACTCCTTTTTGAATGTGTTCTTTATATCTTTCCAGAACTGATTTCAATTACAGTATAGATCTGGTTAATTCGACAGGAGTTTAGGATATCATACTCCTCCTTTAAATATACTGTTTCCATAACTGATTTCAATTACAGTATAGATCTGGTTGATTGGAAATGAGTTAAGGATATCATACTCCTTTTTTAATGTGCTCTTTATATTTTTCCAGAACTGATTTCAATTACAGTTAAGACCTGGTTTATTTGAAATGAGTTAAGGATATCATACTCCTTTTTTAATGTGCTCTTTATATCTTTCCAGAACTGATTTTAATTACAGTTAAGACCTGGTTTATTTGAAATGAGTTAAGTAAATCACACTCCTTTTTGAATGTGTTCTTTATATCTTTCCAGAACTGATTTCAATTACAGTATAGACCTGGTTTGTTTTTAAATCATAGGTATCACATTATTTTCTTCTGCTAGTGACAACGTTCACCTTTGTGTGACTTAATACAAAGTAAAAAAGACTGGAAGTCAAGCAATAGAAAAGCAATATAAAACGTGGGTTTACATTGAAATAAGGCATGCATAGCTGCATTTGTTTACACATGTCCAGGAACCTGTTGTTCAGTGGTTGTCGTTTGTTGATGTGGTTCATACGTGTTTCTTGTTTCTCGTTTTGTATATAGATTAGACCGTTGGTTTTCCTGTTTGAACTGTTTTACACTAGTCATTTTGGGGCCCTTTATAGCTTGCTGTTCGGTGTGAGCCACGGCTCCGTGTTGAAGGCCGTACTTTGACCTATAATTGTTAACTTTTTACACGTGACTTAGATGGAGTGTTGTCTCATTGGCAATCATACCACATCTTCTTATTTCTATATAAAGTGGATAGTGAAATACTAACGCTGCTGCTTTATATATCTAATATTAGTAATTAAACAACAACAAAAATATATGTATAGAAAATTATCATACCTTCAATCAATATGAAGAAATTGAACCGATTTAAAAATGAAACGAGTAAACAGTTGGACGTTACCCTTGCAGAATGAAGATCTATGGGGGAAATGCCCACGAAATAAAGCAAAAAGCGCGGAAAAAACTAATACATTATCTGTACAAACTAATAATGAAAACATAAAGGAGAAATTAATTTCATTCTATTCATTTTGTTCAACCGAAAGAACTTAAATATATTTCAAGTTTCATCAATGCATGTACATGGATAAAAATATGTTTAACAAAAAGACAAAGAGAGAGAAAAGGGGATCACCTTTATCGCAAGAAGTAAGGAGCAGTCCTAATCTTAACTTTATTTGATGAATCGTGTTTCTTAAATACACTACCAAAACGCTTGAAAAGTGACAAATAATTCTTTTTCTTTCAAAGACAAACCCTCCTCTACAATCGTCAAATTATAAATTATGTCTGAATGTCAACAGCAAAAGACACTAAAATATTATTAAACTAAAACCGCAATCATGTCGTTATTTTCACCTTATCTGAAAACTTATGACGCTGTTGTTATATTTGTTTTATTTCCATAGATAATTCTTAACCAATATCGCATGAATTCATTGGACATTAGCCAATGTAACAACATAGATACATGTATGTTTTTTGGAAGATAGAAAAGGCACCTATTAAGTTTCATTGAATTCTTGATATACCCACATACTATAATTGTTCTTTTAGAGATAAACAAAAATTATGGTGATATCTTCAATCGCTGGTTCAGAATATACCTAACTTTGTGATTTCTGAAGTAATTTCGGCTACATCACGTAAAAATAGCATTTGAAGTGCAGTATAAACATATTAAGCTAGACACTTGCCTCCTCTTTCTCACAGTTATAAATTTCGTTGTCCGAAATAAATTGATGTTCTATCGAGTCTAAATTTGAAATGGAAATCGTTGGAACTCGGTAGAGCTCGATGGAGCATCTACCAATAAAATACAGATATACGTAAATCGTGGAAACTAAAAAATGAATAGTACCACTACTTCGATGATCTGTCGAACAAAAACTAATGTTATAGTATTTGTAAACGAGATGTATCGATATTTCCGTCTCTTACAAAGTTAAGTAACGATCATTCACAATTGTGTTATAATATTATATATTTTCACTTGACAAAGACACCTTACATGAAGACCAGCTGATCTACTGTATATTTGAGATAGCAGTTAACCGTTTATGATTATTGGACTAAAACATTTTAATGAAGATAGCTCGACTATATCGTAACAAAGTATTGATTTGACGCGTTTCCATGAAAGGCCACATTTTGCGGTTAATATCAAATTTCAGAAATCTAAATTTTCATAGAACTGAAAAAACCGACAGCCGACTTTGTACACATACATTTGTTTGAAAATTTATATTATTCAC